GGAAAACATAAATAAACAAAAGTCAAACTGAACTCTGTCTGGTTCCCCGTCTGTTCACAGTAACGTATTCCAACATGATGAGAGATCATCATTATCTATTATTTTTAGTAGCAGAACATGTGAAAGGATTATTCCTAAATATCTGACATTACCTGACTGTAATGTGAAAGGAATGTGTGAAAGTTACAATTCAGATATAAAACCCCTGATTTACTGCAGCTGATGGACTAGTCAGATATAGATGAGAACATATTTATAAGTGTGATCATCTACCAAACAGAGTTTTGTGTTTTAATCAAGTCATAAGTGCAGAAATAGAAATTTCAAGTTAACCCATTCAATTTTTATTATTTTCTTATGCTTAACTTCTCCAATCTGACAGTTATTTTAGTAAACGGAATCAATGTCTGAATGCTTTGTTGTGTCAAACACATTAGCTTTTCCAAGATGAGCCTCTGTAGGCTCTTCTTACTAGTCTTTTTGTTTTGTTGATTTATTTTTATTTTGTTATTCACATAATTATCATATGGAGCAGTTGGAGAAATGCTGGGTTTCCCAGCAAAGGGAATAAGGAGGCCCTGGACGGAACGCCCACAGCCAACTGAGGCAGAGGCCGGCCATCCAGGACGTGTTCAGGGCCTGCTGATGCCACAGCATACAAGGCCAAAAATTTAAAGAGACTACTTTTTGTTTTTATGTTTTCAAATTTTTTCTGAATCATTTGTGATATTTATCCTGAAAGGTGCTATATAAATACAATTTTACTGACTTACTTAATGTATTCATTTTGTCTCATGATGGGTTTTCATTAGAGCTATTTCCTTACTTCTAATTAGTTTGGAATACTTTTTACAATCGATCTACAAATGCAATAAAAACATGTTGGGTGTTACATCATGAGACAGCAGTAAATGTGTGCGCTGGCACCATTTTATCAGAGTCAGGGGACCCAATCACATACTCAGGCAGAAGAAGCTCAGTGAGACTTATCTGAAGATCTGAAATCTAATACACACTAAGCTGTGTGTCAGCTCATGCAGAAACAAATTGTAATTGTGCAGACAATCTCGTTAATTTCTCCCTGTTCCTACTATCACGGATATGACATATAGTGATGTTTCGTTGGTATCATCTACAACAGATAAAAGAAGAACAAAGTGACAAATTGGCAAAAAGCCTGTCTGGAACTTGGTAGAAAGGCTAAACAGACAAGAAATGAAAAAAAAAAAATAAATTCAAATGCAGGTATATGGATTTGTTTAGAGTCAAAATATTAATTTGTTATCCTACAAAACAATAATGTCATATACATTAGGTGAGACTGAACAAAATTCTGGTATCAGAAATAATGGATATGCGTATAATAAATCCTCGTTGTTAAATGTGATTTAGATAACTTCATAGCTTCATCTGAAGAACAGGAACAATCAAAAAATAAACAAGGACACAGTATACACAAGGAAGCAGGGGACTGAACAAGATAGTAACAATTAGATATGAGAGAACAAGGAGAAATACGTGATTCATTTGATACTTTTATAAATCGTAGGTACCAACAAGGTATAGCAATATAAGAAAGTCAATTGTGGGAAAAATCTTCTTAATGTTCTTCATGAGCATGTCGTTGTTGTCTTGCTATATGAAGAAGATATTAAATACTGTGTAGATGTATCACTAAGATGCAAACACAAGATTCATATTATCATTTCAGCAACAAGGAACGTAAAAAACTAAATGTTTCTGATATGACACCTTATCAGAGAGAATATAAGACTACAAGCACAACGATCCAGCATCATTCAACTGGCCACTCAGTCGGTGGTTGTGCACATTCTTTTGAGCAAGAGGTGAACATGGACAAAGGCTCGTCTACAGTTTGTGTATTGATTGTAGCACTTTGTGCATTGGTGCACTTTGGCATGGTTTTTTCCACAGTGACAACTGGTGGCATTGTCACAGGTGAGTTGGGTTTTTCTTTTTTACTTAGACGTGTTCAGCTCATAACTGTCTTCTTAACAATTCTTTCTGAAATGTGCATGTTTGTTAGTTACTTATATGGTCTGTTTGGGGACCACACAGCATCATAACCTTTGGCTCAATTACCACACCTCATTCATATCCTTTTCTGCTTCACTGCTTCTTCTAAAACCAGAATGCCCACGCCATCTTAAGCTTGATCAGTCATGTAAGGGGTGTGAGCACTGTCCTAGAGACAGACTTCTTGAGAGGGGTGTGGAGTAAATTTTTGGTCAAACATTCTCAGTTTATAAAATGAGAGATAAAAAGGTTTCTTCAAGTTAAATCCACATTTACCACCCTCTCTGGTTAGCGTTCTTTGTCTGCACTAATTTCTGTTTCCTTCCAGGAAAGCCTGGAGTGTGTCCTCGCCCGCGCTTAAACTTTGGACATTGTGCTGAAATTTGCTCTAAAGACAGAGACTGCCCCAATAATGAGAAGTGCTGCTCCAACGGATGTGGACATGTGTGCATGACTCCATTGTCAGGTGAGATTGAACAAAGTGACATTTTAACAACCAAGTTTCTTTTGACTCAGATTTGTTCAGCTTATAATCTACTGCTCACGGTTTCTTTCTAAAATGTGCATGTTTGGTTTGTTTTGTTAAACAGCCAAACTGGCAATCAGACAGATTTATAAGACTGACTTCATTTACCACAGCTCATCCATGTCCTTTTCTACTTTACTGCTTCCTCCAAAACCAGAATGCCCAAGCCATCTTAATCTTGCTCTGTCACGTAAGGGGTGTAAGAACTGTCCTAAAAGCCACATATGCTGTATCTGTGATGGTGAAGAAGTCTGCGTCCCTCCTGCTCCCAGTACGTGTCACAATGTTTAATTTCTTCTTGGTGTGTGTGGTAAATCTTTGGTTAAACCTTGACAGATAATAAAATTTCTTCAAGTTAAATCCACATTTACCACCCTCTCTGGTCAGAGTTCTTTGTCTGCACTAATTTCTCTTTCCTTCCAGCAAAGCCAGGAGTGTGTCCTCGCTGGCGCTTAGACTTTGGACATTGTGCTGAAATTTGCTCTAAAGACAGAGACTGCCCCAATAATGAGAAGTGCTGCTCCAACGGATGTGGACATGAGTGCATGGCTCCTGTCATAGGTGAGATATAAACAACGTGACAGTTATCCAAAAGATTTCAACTGCTGCAACACATATCACGTTGCAAGTTGCAAAAAGGCTGTCACTGACCATTAATTTGTGCAGACATAATTAAATATAGGAAAATATATATATTAAGATTAATAATTTAATATATGTATACTTGGGACTGCATGAAATTTGAGAAGGTGAAAACTTGTGTTAATCTCTTTTTTTGGCTTGGGGGTAAGTTGGGTACTGAACAACAAAAACCATTAAGACTCTTGTAATGATGCAGCATCAGACTGCACAAGTCTTGTCTGATATATGGGAATTAGAGTGTAAATGTCGGGTGGTAATATGAATTTAAACTAGACTTCTCCGGGAAACTCATTCCTTAGCAGGAAGAAAGAGGTCCAATAGCATCATTCCGTGAAACAGAATTCAAGAAAAAAAGAAGAGGAAGAGGAGAGAGGAATTTGCTGCACTTCAGGAATAGCTGCTGCACAACAAAATACTGTGATAGTGACTGGCAGGGTCAATGCATGCAGACAATATAACAGCATGCAATCTTTGACCACAAAAATGAAACACAGCACTAAAGTAAAGTGAAAGGAAAGTGAGATCAAACACAAACACTGCTGCTCATTATAACATTTTTCAGTTGTCTGGTTTCATTACTAATATTAAACACAAGCTATGTACCATACACACCACTATTGGAGCATGGTTGAAAGTGAAAGTGTGTCTTAAATGACATGTTATCAGAGAGACTGCAAATCTGTGAGCACAATGACCCGGCATCCACTAACTGGCCTTCTCCGCCTGTGGTTGTGCACTACTACACAGACAGTATTTTTGCACATAGGAGCACATTCCTTTGAGCAAAAGATGAACGTGAACAAACACTGATAGACTTTGTCAGTATTTTGTTTGTTCTGCTAGAACTTACTGCAAATTAACAGGCAAGTTTTTTGGGGGGGTTAGGGGCTCAGATGTGCTCAATTTATAATCTGCCTGCTTTCGGATCCTTTCTGAAATGTGCATGTTTGATTTTGTCAAACAGCCAATTTGGTGACTGCAAAGCATCATAACTCTTATTCCTCACAGCTCATCCATGTCCTTTTTTGCTTTTCTGCTTCTTTCAAACCCAGAATGCCCACGCCATCTTAATCTTGCTCTGTCACGTAAGGGGTGTGAGGACTGTCCTAGAGGCCACATATGCTGTATCTTTGATGGTGAAGAAGTCTGCATCCCTCCTGCTCCCAGTACGTGTCACTATGTTTAATGTCTTCTGAAAAGGGTGTGGATTAAATATTTGGTTAAATCTTCTCAGTTAATAAAATGACCAGTAGTTTAAAAATAAAGTTCCTTCAGGTAAAGGCCACATTTACCACACTTTCTGGTTATTTGTCTGCACTAATTTCTCCTTCCTTTCAGGAAAGCCTGGAGTGTGTCCTCGCAGGCACTTTGCACACAACAATTGTGCTAAATTTTGCTCTGATGACAGAGACTGTCCCTTTATTCTGAAGTGTTGCTACAATGGATGTGGACATGAGTGCATGGTACCAGCCATAGGTGAGATACGAACAAAGTGACCGTTATCTAAAGCAGTGGCCCCAACCTTTTTTGCCTCACGGACCGGTTTATGTCTGACAGTATTTTCACGGACCAGCCTTTAAGGTGTCGCGGATAAATACAACAAAATATAACCAGTACCCAAAAGAGAAAATTTATTCATAACACACGGGAAAAGAGCCAGGGAAACTGAGTTAATGATAAAAACGATAAAAAATAACGAAACTCTTAAAAACTATAAATTTCACAACCGAGCCTCAACTCTCGCAGCCCGGAACCAAACGACTCACGGACCTGTACCAGTCTGTGGCCCGGGGGTTGGGGACCGCTGATCTACAGGTTATCTGTTATCATGTCATCTACAATAGGTAGAAGTCAGAAAAGGCTGTCTCTAACAATTGTGCAAAAAAAAGAGAAAATGTTTAATTTCATACATATTTACTTGAGATTGTATGAAACATGAAAGAGAACTTCTTTATGACCATGTGTTTCTTTGTGTACTGCAGACCAGAGACTTACTGCTGTAATTTTGTATGAGACTGTATAAGTTTTGCCTGATATTTGGGAACTGGAGTGTACACGTTGGGAGGAATCTAACTTGAAACAAGAGATTAATCAACTGGATCTCCATGAAACTCATACCTTAGTCGAGAAGAAGGAAGTGCAGTAAGCATCCTTCAGAGAAACAGGGTGGCCACAGCCTAAAACACAATCAAATGTTTCACAATTTCCAGAAACTCTTAGAAGAGATTTTTATTAATTTACTGCAATTCAGGGTTCAATAAGGTCAAAGGAGATCTTTCAGAGGGACAACCCACCACACTCTCTGGAGTTCTTGGTCTATACTCATTTCTCTTTCATTTCAGTAAAGCCAGGAGTGTGTCCTCACAGACACTTGGGCCACGGACGTTGCCTTGAATTTTGCTCTAATGACAGAGATTGTCCCTTTTTTGAGAAGTGTTGCTTCAATGGATGCGGACATGAGTGCATGGCTCCCTACAAAGGTGATAGATGCACAAAGAAGCCAAGACCCTTTAAATAATTCACCAAGTGGTTAACGGTATTTTGTAACTAATCATATTTTTGTCTTTGGCATGTCTGTGAAGGCTGGCTGCTGCCCTCTGCCTGAAACCACCTCCATGTGTGCTGGTCAGTGTCCAGGAGAGCAGAAGTGCTGCAGGAAATCCTGCGGTCATGCGTGCAATGAGCCCCGCTGATTAGAAAGTACCAAGTCAATCTACATTAAACATCTATACACATTTACCGTGGCCTTCTCTTTAATGCAATACTTTTTTTCTTTCTGTAATATTATTAAGACTTTCTTTTTCTGATGATGACAAATGTTTTTGTAAAGGCAGACTGCGTGGCTAGGCACTTGATTATATACGTCTGTGACAACGGGACTGAAAAAAACACCTCAATTCAGAGAACAGGAAGTGTGGCTCCAGACCTGTTGCTTTTACTTAAATCTACTTCAAAACAAGTGATTTCCTGTCCCATTAAAGACAATATTCATTACTTTTAGGTATCTTTCTTTGTATTTGTTTGTTTGTGAGAGTATTTGGATATCGTGTTTTGGACAAAGTTTGCATTTAAAAACAAAAAAGAAAGCATGTTGAATTCACTCTGACATAATGTATCTCTGTATCTGATTGTTCCTAGTAGGGAGATTGAAAAGAAGCAATAATCTGTCCATGTGAGCTCAGAGGCTTCAGAGGGCAGTGAGATATCAAATCAGAATAACCTGATTTGTATTTTATTACAGTTTCCTCACAGTAAAATCATGCACTATGATTTAATGGAGTTACAGTTTCAAACTTCCAGAAAACAAATCAATGTTCAAACTAGAACTGCAAAAAATAAAAATAAAATAAAAACACCAACACTGCTATCAACAAAAATGGTATTTTAAGCACAGCTATCGAGTTTTTATAGTCAGTGCATGCCTGGTTTAGACACTGCCCATTGGTTTACATAAACAGATATAATATGACGATATTCCATTTATAGTCGCATATAACGTTTGAGCATAAGCTAAGAAACAAGTCAAGATAGGAACACGAAAATATGTATCTGACAACCGCCTTTCTTACAGAAAACATGACTCATGTTCGTCACTTTGTGCTGAAAGGAAGCAGCGGCATCAACCCTTACTAACCGTTCTCGTGTGATTCCTCTGGGAAGTAAAGTATCTTAAATTAGGCTGTGAGTGATATAGATTTTGGCCCGTCAAGCTGTGGGCCCTCCTCCACAGCAGCCTCAAGCTAACAAGCTAATTAATAGAAGGCAACAAAAATGAAAGCTTAAGTGGGAGACTGACTATGGTGCACCTTTACACCACAGATAAAATACATTATTAACACATTCAAAGCAAATGTAACATTTTTTCTTCTGTAATTGGCAGCAGTTAACAGCATCCAACATTATTAAGGGTAATTTTGTGCTGAGGATGTTTAACACTGTCATAGATTTGTATAAATGATACCTGCTGCTAAAGCAAAACACACGGCTGTTTCCATTATTGCTCCCCGTTCCGTGCAGGGGAGGAATTTAAGTGCTAAAAGCGGAAAATCAGAATTAAATAGCACGAACATTTCACAGTTTGTGAGCACACAAAAACTGCAGAAAAATGAGTTTGTCAGAGTGGCCATATGTAGGATTTCACACACCCAATTTGGAAAGCTCTGTTGAAACAACCAGTTAAAATCAATCATTGACATCTTTCAGTCCTATTTCCAAATAAAAAATATTTCAGTTTTAATCAAATGTAATGATTTGTTTTTATCAAGCCAAATCTTTATTTATTTATTCTTTACTTTGTTTATCATTTCATTTTATGAAATAATAAACAAGGCACCACCATGTTTGCCTACTGGTGTTTTCAAAAGCTTGAATCACATAACGAGGGAGTAACGTTGTTTAAGAGAAAAGGGGCTTCGGCTGTATTTGGTTAAATGACATTCTGAAGAACGACAAAGGCCTCGACACAGACGTAACTTCCCTACTAACTAAACAATTTAGAACGAAAGAAGCCCCCTGCTTACTTACATTATGATGAGTGTAGAATGGATGTTTTCACAGCAGGTATGGACAAGCATATGTTTACAGCTACCGACATTTTCCCAGTATTACTATTGTATTGGAGTATTAGCTTTAAAAATGCTGTTTTAAAACAGGCTTGAAACAAAGTGATTTTAAGCATTCCACATGAACTTTTCTAGAATTTGCGTCACTTAAAGCACATTATGTCAGTTTGTTTAAGAAGCAGGGTTGTAACCATTTCATTATGACGTCACTCTGAAAGGTCACAGAGCAGATCACATAGCATTTGTAGAATCAAGAGATCTGGTACAAAGACGTGCATGTGGTGTCTTATTGCACCCCAAAATGATATGTGGCGGGATCTTTTAGTGGTTTTTGTACAGCGGATCGGTTCATTTGTGTGAAAGCTGTACATTTCTCCTCAAATCAATGTTTTGATTCAGTGTGTCAACCCATGTGGTACTTTAAATTACACAAATGAAGGTTTAGAGTACTGCAGTCTAGTAGGTATTGTCTCAAGCAAGATTTAAAAAGCATTACAATTTGATCATGACCCTAATTCAGAAAGCATGAATTTTTTCCTGCAAAAGAACACAACCTCCAGGCTTTTTCAGCATTGTCAGTTTGTGCAAAGAATCATTTTCCACTACAAGTACAACAGGTGAAAAACAAATTGAAATAAACAAATTAAACCTCCCAAGTGTTTTTTTTTTAATTACTATTATTTTTCATTTCCTAAAGATTAATTGAAAGGTCCATGGAGTTTGGAGGGTGAGGACCCAGGAAACCGCAACAAGGAGGAGAGGGACAGCAAATGGCAAGTCACAAATTAGGCCTTGGAGACCATGATGAGAATGTCCACCTCACTCAGGCTTTTTGCTTTAGACTTTCCATTCTGGACCAATCTATGTGCAGAAATGTGCCTAAAACCCTGAAAACTGTTAAACTTACCACAGATATTCACTTAGTGTCTATAATAACAACATTTAATAGTTTCA